AAAAAGAGAATCTTGCTGTCGAAAACAAAACTGAAAGCAAGTGATGAGAAATCAAGCTACAATTTGAGTGTAGGCTCTATGCTGAGTGCTACATGCTGGTTTCCAGAAAAAAATAACCATTGGCTCTGTCTGATCCCTTACAGCCAAGACATGAGAATTCTAGAACTCAGATCTTTAGAGCTGAAGTGACTCCAGGAGGTCTAGCAGCCCAAGTCTTGGAATTACATGCATATTTTCAATTCTTGCACTTAAAGAAAAGAAAACTGAGGCTCAAAGAAGTGGCAATTCTTGCCCAAGGACCCCCAGCTGGTGAGTACAGATTCAGATTGGCTGCCACCCAGAGCCTTTTCACTGACCCGCTGGTGCTCAGGCTCACCTCCCCACCCCTTCAAGCTGATGTGATTTTCCGGGCTTACAAGGATTAAGGAATGACAGAGACAGAGAACTCAAGGGCTGTTAGGAGGTTACATGCCAGTCCCTTTACCTGGGAAATAAAGACAGCCCCAAGAGGCTGAACAACCTGCCCCAAGTCACTCAGGAATGAGTGACACAGCCAGACCTGGAGCATCTCTTCTCTATCATTGTCCAGTGACCTTTCTCTTTCTCAAAGGTCCCTCAGGTGTCTGATGGCATCTCTGGTGACACCACACTAGAGAGGCCTGTGGGTCCTCTTAGAACTCAGTGAGTGTTAAATTAAAACCACACAGGGTCTGCAGGCCTCGCTGGGATGATATTTGTGTGATTTCCCAGGCTTACTCAAGCGGGTTGAATGGTGACCTGATGGTCACCAAAAGAGACTCCCTATCAAATCCATGGAACCTGTGAACGCTTATTTGGGAGAGGGGTCTTTGTAGACGTAACTAAGTGAAAGATCTTGAGATGGGGAGGTCATCTTGGATTATCTGGGTGGGCCCTGATTCCAACGACAAGTGCCTTTACAGGAAAGAGGCAGAGGGAACTGTAACAGAGAAAAGGAGACAACACGGAATAGGCGGCCATGTGAAGACAAAGCCAGAGACTGGGAGGCTGCCACAAGCTAAGGAACATGCAGAGCCATCAGAAACTCGGAGAGGCGAGGAAAGGCCCTTCCCCAGAGCCTTCAGAGACAGCATGGCCCTGCCGCACCTTGCTTGCAGACGTCTCACCTCAAGAACCGAGAAAACTCAGTTTAAGAACTAACCTCAAGAACCTCAAGAGCTGTGTAAGCTTGTTGTTTTAAGCCACCACTGCTGCAGCTGACACAGAAAACTCATACATTTGTAAAGGGATAAAATAAATTTATCTGTGGATAAAATAAATATAAAAAACCACAAAAACCCAAGGTTCACAGTATTTACAAAATGTACCATTTATAGCAAGATGTACCACCATCATAAAATTTCCCCACCACCAAGACCCAAGCGTGAGAGGCCGAGGGAGGAGTGTGTGGAGACCGCCCTGCTTTGTGTTGGTAACCAAGCCAAACTGACTCACAAGCTGTCACACGTCAGCGTGATAACCCTGCAGGACATTTTTCTAGCTCACACGCCCATCTGAGGACTACATCTGCTGGATGGATTCTGAATCTGAGGCTGAACATGGTGCAAACTACTCCCAGACGTCTCAACTCTGAAAGCCCCAAATGGAAAGTCTCCAAGTCTTAAGCCTCACAAAACGGCCTTCACAGAAACCTGAAGCCAATTTGAGAAGAGGCCTCTGCAGCCACAGGGAAAGCCAAATGACTCAGGTCTTGAAGGAGAAAACAGAGTGAGCAGATGTTTCTTCCAAACGGCATGTTCTTGGATCTAGCTTTATTTTAGATTTTCTTCCCCACAGCTGTCGAGCTAAATCTGAAGGGTATCAACGCGCGCGCGCGCGTACATACACACACACACACACACACACACACACACTCTCAGACACACACACACACAGAGCCCTTTTCCCTCCCCAACATGTTTTGGGGGAACACAGCTCCACATGTGGACTAAGAAGACTGCAAACATGGCTGTCACAAATGTGGGGATCGCGTTCAGTGTTTTCTCGCCTCTCTTTGTACAGCTGGACATCTGGGAAATCATTCTGATGTTCCATTGTTTTTTTTTTTTCTTTTCTTTCCTTTTTTTTTTTTTTTTTATGAGGGCCAGGCTTGGTTGCTCATGCCTGTAATCTCAGTACTTTGGGAGGCTGAGGCGAGAGGACTGCCTGAGACCAGGAGTTAGAGAGCAGTCTGGACAATAGAATGAGACTCCCATGCTTTACAAAAAATAACAAAATTAGGTGGGTGTGATGGCATGCACCTGTAGTCCCAGCTACTCAGGGAGCTGTGGCAGGAGGATAGCTAGAGCAGGAGTTCAAAGTTGCAGTGAGGTATGATTGTACCACTGCACTCCAGCCTGGGCAACAGAGCAAAACCCTGTCTCTTAAAAAAAAATAAAAAAAGAAAAGAAAAGAAGATGACGACAACAAAGAAGGAAGAAGGAAGAAAGAAGAAAGAAGTTAGAAGGAAGAACGGAGGAAGGAGGAGGGAGAAGTGAGAAGGGAGGAGGAGGGAAGAGGAGGGAGGAGAAGGAGAAGGAGGAAGGAGGAAGGAGGAAGAAGAAGAAAAAGAAGAAAGAAGAAGAAAGGAGGAGGAGGAGGAGAAGGAAATTTCCAAGTTGCTCCCAACTCAACAGGTTTATTTCAATCCTCCACAAGAGATCAAACTCAGGAATGACATCATGGGAAATGGTGTCAGGCCCCAGTGAGGGCACTTCTGAGAAGAGCTCTCTCGGGAGGGATGAGGGATAGACTCAGGGCCAGGAGGGGAGGCACCAACCACTGCATCATGCTCTGAGCACTGTGATGGGACTGCTCGGACTCCAAGCTCCCCTTCAGGTGGGTCCCATCCATCTTCTCCAACAGCCTTCCTGGGGATATGCTTCTTTCTCCCTAGTCAAGACACTAGTTTTGAAGTGCCCTTGGGTCAATAAAGCTTTATTGGAAAGGCTACGAGAGAACTCTTTCCACCCTTCCTGTGTGTGCGGAGGGTGGGGGCCCATTTCTCAGGCTCCACTCCAGCCAGCGCCACCATCGTTTTGTGCCCAGAGTTCTGTAGTAGCCTCCTAGCTGTTCTGTCTCCACCTCAACTCCCTTCCCAGTCATTTAAAAAAAAATCTGAGCTGAAATGCACGTACCATAAAATTAACCATTTTAAAGTGAACAATTCAGTGGCACTGAGTACATTCATTCACAATGCTATGCAACCACCTCCTCTATCTAATTCCAAAATATTTTTATCACCCCAAAAGGAAATCCTGTATCCGTAAAGCAGTAATTTCCTATTTCCCCTTCCCCCAGCCCTTGGCAACTACCAATCTGCTTTCTATCTGTATGGATTTACCTATTCTAGATATTTTATGTAAACCACATCATATAATATGTGGCCTTTTGTGGCTGGTTTCTTTGACTTAGTGTGTTCTAAAGGCTCATCCTGTGGTAGGCAGCACTGCTGCAAGGCTGGATGATATTCCACTAGACGGATACACCACGTGTTGTTATCCATTCACCTGCTGATGGACTTTGGGTTGTTTCTACCTTTCGGCTGATGTGAACAGTGCTGCTGTGAACATGTGTGTACATAGATTTGAGAACTCTCATATGTTCTTTACACAACAACCTGGTCTAATCACATGACACTCCAGCTACAAGCAGTTCAATGGCTTCCCACCGCTTTTAGGGTAACACCCAAACTCCAGAATGTCACTCTTGGGACCCTGCCCACTTCTCCAGCATCATCTGTCACATCCGTGCTCCTGCCCAACTGACGTTTCTTATGTATGCTGTGCTTTTCCTCACCTCTGCGCCCCTGCAGGTGTTGCTCCCTCTTCCCAGAACCCTCTTCCTCGGGCTAAGAGGCAACTGCATTTGACCACAATCACACCCTTCTCTCCCAAGTGCAATCAGCTGCCCAGGTCCCAGCACACAGCCAATGCTGGCCCCTCTGTGCTTTGTGGAAAGGGCTTACAGTGGGATTTAGGGGGCCACGCTGGACCTTTGCTGTGAAACCCACGGAAGAGACAGTGCAGCCCAGAAACACCCTGGTGGGGGTGCCTTGGATCTCTGTCTGGGTCTCTGAAACGTGCCCTGCTGGGAAGGTGGAACATGGCTCTGCGGATTCAGCAGCCTGGTGCCTGACTAAGCACGGTGACAAGCTGCAGGACCTGTAGTCATCCCCCTAGTTGTGAGGCTTCCTGATCCACCTCTGCTTGGGTCATACTCTCCACCCTGGCAGGTGGGCCACGGGTGAGGCAGTCTTACTTTCTCCTTGGACCTGGCTGACACCCCACAGGCCTGGGAGAAGTAGGGTAGCGACTCCTTCTGAACTCTGGCCCCAGAATTCTGTGTCTCACCCCAGAGGAACTGGCTCAGCCCAGAGGCAGAAGCCTGTGTGGCAGCTGCTGAGAAAGCAGGAAGAAAGCTCCCCAGCTGGAGGCGGTGGCACCTGAACTTGACAGACTTCAGCTCAGCCCCGGCTACAGGGTGCTCTGGGTCACACAGGATGTGGTTTTTGAAGGCTGGGGAAGCCAATGCCTCTACCTTTCCCCCACCCTTCCTTTCTTAGCTTCCATTCTGAGCCTCTGCTCCCTGAATCTGCACACGCCCAGAAATGCACGCATACACAGATGCACACACGCACACACGGATGTATACACACGATTTCGCATCCTCTTCATTTACTCTTGTCTAACTTCTAAAAATGAAAATGGTCTAATATAGCCTCTCCTACATAACTCCCACCAGAACCTTTATCATGCTTTTCTTTTTTTTTCCTTTGCAAATTCTCCATCATTCTAATTTCCACGTGAGCCTTTGAGGAGAGTGCAGCACCGTAATTCCCAAAGACAGTCACCTGCAACTATTTTCTTTCTCCACAGGTAAAAAAAAAATGGAGGAGGCGGGAAAGGGTCCCCGTCTTGTGTGTTTCTGAGGGCCGCTGAGGAAGATGGCGGTCGCTGTGAGGGAGCCGGTCTGCCACTTACCTCCAGGACTTTCCCTGTGATAAACTGGTGACATGCCTCACATTTCACCCCAAAGAGTCCCTGGTAGTCCTTTTCACAGTACGGGGCACCATCCCTGCAAGACAAAAGCGTGTTCAGCTCCTGAGGAGGTGGCCAGGGGCTGGAGAAGACACCAAAACCACATTTCTCCAAGGTCTTTCCACAGAAGGGCAGGACGTATTTTCTCCCACCCAGCGTTCACATGCCTGGTAATCCAGTCAGGCCTGACCAGACATGATCAAAACCACAAGCGAAATGATCCAGAGAGCGCTCTGTGGCTCTTGGTGCCACACAGGCGAAACGGCCATGTCGTCATATGATCACCCTTGTTGATTTTGTACTGTCTCAGAGCTAACGAGCAGAAAGCCTGGCAGCATTCTCTCTCCAGAGGCCCCCTGGGCATGGAGGAGCACTGAGCCCACTGAGCCCACATAACAATATTTAATAAACCAGAGAAAGAATGGGATTAATGAACCTGAAGAAGATACTGGCAAATCAATAGGCAATATCACACCTGAAGGCAAAACACTAGAGACAATTTCATTAAAACCACAATAAAGGCAAAGCTATAAAATATTGTTAACGTATATAATACGTATATTTAATAATATGACACTGAGGCCAGGCACGGTGGCTTATGCCTGTAGTCCCAGTACTTTGGGAGGCCAAGGTGGGTGGATCAGCTGAGGTCAGGAGTTTGAGACTAGTCTGGCCAACACGGGAAGCCCTGTTTCTACTAAAGAAAATACAAAAATTAGCCAGGTGTGGTGGCGCACAGCTGTAAATCCCAGCTACTCAGGAGGCTGAGGCAGGAGAATTACTTGAACCCAGAAGGCGGAGGTTGCAGTGAGCCAAGATCACGCCATTGCAATCCAGCCTGGGTGACAGCATGAGACCCAATCTCCAAAAAAAAAAGAAAAAGAAAAAGAGAAAAAGAACACTGAGCCCATCAGATGTGGGCTCAGCGTTCATCCCCCCACCACAAGGGGCCCACATGCCAGACTACAGCCTCTGAACAGCCTCCAGACACCACCTCCTCAGCTCTCAGGAGGCCTCCGGGGCCCATGGCTGCCTCCTCCAGCTCAGGCAACCTCCTCCATTTACCTTGGAGCACAGGAAAAGTATTATATCCTGTGTGTGATTGCATGGTAAAGCTATAGAGTGCCACTCTAGACTGCCAAGTTACCCACCACTGCACAGTTTGCAATGTTCCGTTAGAAGCCAGGCACCTGTCTTCTTACTTTGTCCATCATGGTCAACTGAAGAGCTTCTTGCCTTTTCTTTTCTTTTTTTTTTTTAGACAGAGTCTGGCTCTGTCGCCAGGCTGAAGTGCAGTGGCGCGATCTCAGTTCACTGCAACCTCCGCCTCCCGGGTTCAAGCAATTCTCCTGCCTCAGCCTCCCAAGTAGCTGGGGTTGTAGGTGCCTGATACCACACCCGGCTCCTTTTTTGTATTTTTAGTAGAGACGGGTTTCATCATATTGGCCAGGCTGGTCTCGAACTCTCAACCTCAGGTGATCCACCCGCCTCGGCCTCCCGAAGTGCTGGGATTACAGGCATGAGCCACCGCACCCGGCCTTCTTGCCCTTTCAATGCAGGTGTTTCAGCTTTACCCTGGGCCTGTAGAATCAGATTTCTAGCGGGTGGGGCCCAAGCAACCTTTTGTTTGTTTGTTTCACTATATTTTTAAACTACATTCATTAATATTTTTGAATAGTGATTTCATGTGGTTGGGGAAATGAATGAATGAATGAATGTATTTGTTTATTTTTTGAGACAGGGTCTCACTCAGTTGCCCTGACTGGGGTGCAGTGGTGCGATAATAGCTCACTGCAGCCTTGATCTCCTGGGCTCAAGCAATCTTCCCACCTCAGACTCCCAAGTAGCTGGGACTACAGGCATGTGCCATCATGCCTGGCTTATTTATTTATTTATTTAGTTATTTAGTTATATTAGTAGAGATGAGGTCTCGCTATGTGGCTCAGGCTGGTCTCGAACTCCTGAGCTCAAGTGATCCTCCCACCTTGGCCTCTCAAGTGTTGAGATTACAAGTGTGAGCCACTGCACCCAGCAGAAAAGTTTTTTTTGAAGCATAAAAAGGTATACAGTGGAAAATTTCCCCTCATTGCCAGGCTACATTTGTTTTTTTAAAAAACCCTCACTTCCTTAACTGTAGCTATTATCCACTGTTATTGAACATGAGCCCATTTCCTGGCAGGCTGTTTTGTGCACAGTCCTAAACGGCTGACAACCTAGGCCTTGCGTGTTTTTGGGGGGCGTCTATAAATGTACTCCAGCCCTGGAAGGAGGACAAAGGCTTACTAGTTCCTCATAGGAGAATGAATAGCAACAGGGAAATTATTAAATGCTTAATTGGTGATGACATACAGTATAACACTGTCATTGTTAAATCCGGCAATGATTAACATTTCATTAGGTTTATAGTAGCCAAAGCAGAAGAATACAATTCTTTTCAAAAGTTTTATAGCAACAAGTTCATTCTGACAGCAGGATGTGAACAATTTCAGCACCTTTGACAGCATGGGGCCCCTGAGACCAGGACCTGCAGAAGAACCACAACGCCTGGTGCCCACTGAAAGGAACACGTGCCCGCACCCAGCCTTACTTGCTGATGTACTCCCCGGTGAGGACCTTCCCGCAGGACTTGCATTTAAAGCACCCCAAGTGCCACTGCTTATCCAGCGCCAGCAGTGCCTGCCCATTCTTGATATCTCTTCCACAGCCGGCACAATCTGAAAAAGAGCAGCCACCAGTGGTTACTACACATTTCCTTTGCTAAATCCAAGCAGGCAGCCCAATTTCAACCCCACTGTGTGCCCATCATGCACTCAATCAATATTTACTCAAGCACCATCTCAGGTCAGTTTCTTTCCCTGCACAAAATCTTTCTCGGTGAAGTCTCACAGGCTGTGTCCTCAGAAGGACACAGCATGGAAGCTTCACGAACGTCCATGGATCTAAGAGGATGGGTGTCCTTCACCCATCTGCTTACTTGGGGTTTTTTAATGCACCATCTGAGCTACAGATCACACAGAGAATATTTAATTATAGTGTCTTGGCTGTGATTTTAAGAAAGTACTCATAGGCATTTATTAATTGAGGCACTGTGAACAACTCAGCACTTTATGCTGATGCCTCGCCTAACACTATATACGTGATTACTCCTGGAAGGCTGCCCGTAAATCTCATTTTTGTAAATGGGACCCTACTTCATTATCAACCCAAACTAGCCTTTCAAAGATTTGTGATCATCAGTTAAATGGCTCTTAATTCCTTAGCTTTCAATTCTCCTTGGCAGGCTCCTGGAAGGATAATAAAGGAGAAATTATTTCTTCATAGTAAAGAGTGTGGGCCTGGAGTAAGACATCCCAGTCCCGAACCCCAGCTAACTCCTTGTTGGCTAGCTATGTGATCAAGGCAAGCTACATCCTTTTGAAGCCTGGGTTTCTTCTTAGGGAAGTGGGAATGTTGTCAGCACCTGGTCTCAGGCCTCTGATGAGGATTCAGGGCATTTAATAGATTTAGCAGTAGATGGCACATTGGAAGTGACCAGAAACATTTGCTGTTATTACAATTGCCATAATTAATCTGATTATTGACTGCTTCATTCTGTTAGGGAAGTTGGGTATTTAAAAGAACCCAGAAGACTATAAAGTGGTGCAACCTTTCTGGAAAGCAACTTCAACATCTACAGACATTTTCCAAATCAATGTACCTGAGAGAATGAAAGCAAGCACGTGTCAGGTTGGCCACGGTGCTCCCAACTGATCATACGGAACACACACAGAATAAAGCCATGTCCTGGCAAGGCCACTTAGTGGCCGGGTTTGGACCAAGACAGAGACGAGGCCACTTGGTAACCCAAAGTGATGAAACAGCCCCCTCTTCTGACCACATCCATGACTGCCACTGCTTTCCTAATGATGCTTCTAGCCCAACTTTAATTATTTGACCATCCAGAAAAATCTAAGAGACCCAATCACTGACCTGGCCCTGCTTCTTGACAACGCTTAACCTAGAACTGCTTCTGCTCCTTTGAATCTTCTTTAAAATTACCTAGCACATGGGCTGGGTGCGGTGTCACAAGCCTACAGTCCCAGAACTTTGGGAGGCCGAGGTGGATGGATCACCTGAGGTCAGGAGTTCAAGATCAGCCTGACGTAACACGGTGAAACCTCGTCTCTACTAAATACAAAAAATTAGCCGGGCGTGGTGGCGGACGCCTGTAATCCCAGCTACTCAAGAGGCTGAGGCAGAATTGCTTGAACCTGGGAGGCAGAGGTTGCAGTGAGCTGAGATCATGCCATTGCACTCCAGGCTGGGCAACAAGAACGAAGCTCCATTTCAATAAATAAAGAAATAAAATAAAATAAAATAACCCAGCACAAGCCCAAATGCTGTGAAAACTCCTCCAAACTGCACCCAGAGTGGGCTCACGATTCCTCTGGCTTCCCTATTGCTGCAGCTAGTTCAATAAACCTGACCCGCTTTTTTATTTTTTTTTGATGACGTGTATTTTTGGTGATCTTGATCAGTGGGTGTTCACGTAACCTTAAGATCCAGTAATTATTTTAGGTCTAAGATTTTATTCTACAAATATATTTGCAAAAGCATGTATGTGCACGCATATATTCCCTACAGCATTTCCCTAACGACAAAAACTGGGAATAGGCGATATGGACATCAGCGAAGGGCCAGTTAAATAAATTATAGTATAGTCGATAATGGAATACTATATGCTGCTCAAAAGAACGAGGCAGATTTGTGCTCTGGCATGGAAAGATGTTCAAAATAGATCAAGTAAAAAAAGCAGGCCATAGAACAGTAAGCATAGCATAAGCCCATTCATAAAAAAGTAGTAAAGAAAATGGTGTGTGTGTCCTAGTCCCAGAATAGAACATTTCTGGGGGAAAACATTAAAAATTCTGAAGAAACTTCCCTCTCTGGAGGAGGACTTTACTGTTTAACTTCACATGCTCTGTGTTGTTTGAATTTTTAAACCATGATAATGTAAAAAATTTGACTATTTATAACATTTAAAAATACAAGTTCTGAATACTGCAAATTAGAATTTCTTAATGTATAGCTCATTATCTAGTACACATATGAGTACATATTAGAAGGTCATGCACAAATGAGTGTATGTTAGATGGTCACAAAAGATTAAGCATTTTTAAAAGCTGGGGTTTATAATAATTCCAACACCTGACCAAAATTTTTATAAAAGGAATTTCACATCTGGTAGTTTACTATAAAGATAAAAATGGAAGGCCATGATATTTGTTTAAAAATATAATTTTTAAAGTTTAGGAGCACAGTATGGATATAAGAAAATTGATAGTTTTTTTAAAAAAGACTATTTTTAGAGCAGGTGTAGGTTCACAGCAAAATTGAGCAGAAGGTACAGAGATTTCCGATACAACCCCAGTCCCTACCCGCGGCAGCCTCCCCGGTTAGCAACATCCCCCACCAGAGTGGAACCGTTGTTACAATTAATGAACTGACATTGACACATCATGATAGCCCAGAGTCCACAGTTTACATTAGGGTTCAGTCTTGATGTTGGACATTCTGAGTTTGGACAAAGATACAATGACATGTACCCGCTATTACAGTATCATACACAGTAATGTCACTACCCTAAAAACTCTCTGTACCCCGCCTTTTCATCCCTCCCTCCTCCTAACTCCTGAAAACCACTGATCATTTCACCGTCTACATAGTTTTGCCTTTTACAGGATGAAATGGACAGTTTTTTAATTCAAGCCTAACTGAAATTTTTCTTTATTCTTCTAATTACATAATTCCCACTAGGTGGCAGCAAAGATTTAAATAATAAGGAAGCTGCTGTTCAATAGAATTTTTGAAGGCGAAAATCAACTTTCAGAAATGGCTTTTACATTTTTACAAATGACGTTGGACGGGCACAAGGAGGGTGACAGAGTTGTTTGCAGTCTCCCTGCTGCACCACCAGTGAGGTCCAGGGAGGTGGATGGTGTGGGGAAGGTAGGGTGGCATGGGCTTTGGTGTCAGGAAGACTTGAGCAAGTTACTCTCTCCAAACCCTCATTTCTTCATCTGTAAAATGCTGACAACAGCCATTGCCTAGGCTGCTATAAGGAAGAAAAGAGATCATGCACTGTAAAGTGTTTTGCATAATACAATGCTTGGTACATATGAGCCTCTCAATAGACTCCCGTTTTCCTTGGTTGGGGGCAGAGTTAGGTCTTGGGCTCTTTACAAGCACCTCAGTGACCAGATATCCCAGAGCTGTGAACGAAGCAAACACACAACTTGAAAATAAAAACCATTGTTAGGGGATAGAAAGTCTTGAAGGCTTGGCCTGCAGCCAGTCAGAGGCTGAAGCGGAGTTACACCCTATACAAATGAAGGATTGGCCCACAGCCAATCAGAGGCTGAAGGGGAGTTACACCCTACACAAATGAAGGATTGGCCCACAGCCAATCAGAGGCTGAA